ATCACATATCTCACACCCAAATTTCATATTTACACACATACCACAATTTTCTTATGCATTTACATATCTCACACCACAATTTTCATACATAGCACAAATATCATATGTATTTACATATCTCACACATAAACTTAAGAAAAATTATGAAATCCACATGCATTGCATACCTAATTATCGAACAAGAAAAAAATTTGAGCAAAGCCTATGTATTTTCTGATCTAACACATATGCAAGGAAAAAAAAAGATGAAAACTTATGCTAAACCAAAGCTTGGAGGCGTGGAAGAAGATTTCTCACGCTGGATGGGGTTGGAACACATAATCGAACTCGAAATTGCCAAAGAAGCTCAGAGGCTACGAGCAAAAGACGAAGAAAGGAAATGAGAGTGAAATGGAGTTGCGGTTCACGGGAAGACTATTTTAGGGCATTAGAGTTGGCCTTAGCATCAACCATGGCCGACGCTGATAAGTGAGATTAGCGTCAGCCATGCGTCGACCGCTCAACACTACCTTTTTGTCTTGATATTTTGGAAGTGAAAATCAGTCTCTAAGTTTGTGTCGGAAATAAGTATGCCGTTAATTCACAATTTTCCTATGGTGATTAATAAGTTCATTAAGCAGTCCTTCACAATAGCATGAATGAACTTCAATCCCATTACTATTCATGATTGTCTATTGGTTATAAGTCCTTCCGCACATTGATGTTGTAACTTGAAAGGCTGTATAACTCTTTTCCGCTTGTGGGTCAAAGGGCTTTACCTGTAATTATCAGCTTATAGTAGATTTCTTCAACTGGGTCAGTCCCCGTGATTTTTTCACTTTGCGGGTTTTCCATGTAAAATTTTTTTGTTGTTTCTGTCCATCATTTTCATTATCTGAAGGTGCACAAAATTATCATTCAATGCTAAGTCATTAATTAATCACTCTATCGTCATGAATCCTCTTTGTTGCACCACGTGTAAAAAATCATTAAAGTGCTGTTAATAGACATCAATCGATCATGAAGGTTAGTATATCAGTAAATTTACATGCTAAGAGAAATATAGTTATAAAACTATTTATTCCCTATTTTTTTTATGTGGAAAATTTTATTCATTAACCATGAAATAATTTTGCATAGCACGTGGTGGAGTGGTTTCAAAAAGATGTTAGAAATCTTTTCAACATGAAATCAAAGCCTTAACTATGTTTTATCGGCACGATTAAAGGAGGTTTAAGTACAACTAAACTGAGATCAACTTAGTAATCGATGCTCTGTTGACTTTATTTATGAAGAAAATTATTATTATGTCGGCCAAATGATGACTGAAGAGGGGATCTTATTCTTCAGATGCGTAATTAATTACAGTTTTCTAATCGTCGCTGATTGCTTTTATTGCTTTCATGGTACTTTAAAAACGGGCTTAGTATTAGGCAGGTCCCCATTATTTTTTACAGTCATTAATTAAGGCTTGCTAATCATGAAGGTTTAGATTCCTTAAGGCTGTTTGTCGTTCGGCAGCATAAGATTACGTAGTATAAGCGCATGCATTGTCTTAATTATGGTTTAGCTTATCAAATAAATAGATTAGTAGGCTGGCTAAGCCTACTTAATCTAAGAGATTATCATTTCTCTCCGCAATGGTAAAAATGAGAATGCCGCGTATAGATGTGTATCGTTTTAACTAGGCGTGATTTGGGAGGTCTTTTTTTTATATATATTTATTTTCTTTTTTCTATTTTTATTTATTATAATTTGATTTGAACAAATTATGTGTGATAAAAGGAGATAAAATAAAATAAATTTATTTTTAAAATTGTTCAAAACAACTAAAATTTATTTTGAGTTTTTTTTAATATTTTAATTTATTTTTAAAAATAAAAGCATGTAAAAATATATTAAATAATTATATTTAGAAAAAAAATTAAATAAACAAAGTTGATCCTAATTAACCCTGAGAATTATGAGGGATATTTATGCGCATTTATTTCCGCTATATGCGCCTTGTATTAAATTACGTGACGCACAATGTGCCATAAATTATCCTTAAATCTTAAGGTTGGGTCATCCTTGAACAATGTTGAGTTCAAAATATCAATTAGTGACTAATCTATTTATGGAATTTAGTGCTATTAAAATACTATAATGCAATATCATCTCAAAATTATATAATAAAAACACTTGATATGATCTTCCACTGAGCAAACGGCTCCGAGCAGAGCACGCGTCACCTGAGAAAGCTCTGCAAGAAAAAACAAAAATATCTGGAGGACGACCGAACCATAGTAAAAAACCGATTGGTGTTTGATCGAGCGGCTAAACAAGGGTAAACTGGCCCAGAGGCCGGTCAAACCATAATTACATCGACTCAGAGGCTGCTTAGGTAGCTGTCGGCTGACAAGAAAATGACTCGTTGAATATTCATCAATGGCACGACATGAAGCCAATTGATTGGGAGCCGATTGATTAAAAAGGTTCAGAGGTGTAAATTATCATTTCAAACTAATCCCAGCCCATGTAACTATAGGAGCATTAAATACAATAGAAGTTGTTGAAACCACATATAGAAATATCGCATCTCTCTCTCATCTCTCTCTCTCATTCTCATGTTTCATTTCTTGGGTATGATTCACGGACAAATCTAGAGTCAACACCACAAAATGTCCGGGCCACTCTATGGCTTTTCAAATTAAAGAAAAAAACCTAGGTACCCTGGCATTGTCTATCACCTCGGGAGGATGTGAAAGAGAATTCACAATCATAGCAATCTTCATCGTCAATTCACCAAAAACTACGACGCCATTTTTCAGTTTCCCTCTGCTCAACTCTTTTTGAGTCATAGTGTCTACTTACCATGTGGCAGTAAAATTTCACAACAATTTTAATGTTACAGTGTGTAGAGCCAGTGCATTCCAAGCAGCTTTAAGGCGGGCGCCTCAGCAACCATGCCATGGGCAATGCTCTTATTCCGGAGAGACCGGCGCCTAGGGGTCGATCTATTGGCACCTACTCACCCATTTCTGGGCGCCGATACAGAGCACTCGGTGCTAAGTTTGGGTGTCAAAGCTCCCGGTGCGGTCAATACACAAAAAATTAAGCCAATTTTGAGTAGGTTTCTTAAGGCTTGCTCTTTCTTTCTTCTGATCCTTCGACGAGCATCCAGGTGAAGGTGAGGAGTCTCAATGAGATGAATTTTGGTGATTCAACATGCTTTTTACGTCGGATTGGAGAGGGAAGATTGGTATTGCAAGTCTTGTAAGTTTCTTCGTGTGAGTGTGGAGACAAAACTTGTGTGAGCATTTGTAAAACTTTCTGACTTACATAGTAAAATTTGTGGTTGTGTATGACTTTGTGGTTTTCTTCCAATTTTCGAGTTTTTTCATGTAAAATTTTCTTCGTGTGAGTGTGGAGACAAAACTTGTGTGAGCTTTTGTAAAACTTTCTGAATTACATAGTAAAATTTGTGGTTGTGTATGGCTTTGTGGTTTTCTTCCAATTTTTGAGTTTTTTCATGTAAAATTCCCGTGTCTTTTTTCGGTTGCATTATTTATGTTTTTTTAAAAAATTTTCTCAATTTTTTTTTGAAGCCTGTGACCCTGTTCTACAGCTAAATTCAAATGAGACTTTTTCAAAGCAGTTTCTTAACATATAATACTAAATAATTTCAATAAATGTACTTTTGTATTATAAAATTTAAACTTCATGTATATCCGGACGTATGAAGATATTGAATGATTTGAATGATCTGATGGCTGACCTAATGAAGAACAAGGTGGACAATGCTTGGCATGGAGGTCCCATCCGGGTGAGCTCAATTATGTAGAAAGCTACGAAATTGTTTTCTGCAGTAGTCCATGATAAAGTCATGAAGACAAATAAAGGACCCCACTTGTCCTCCAGCTTCAAAGCATATGGAGCTCTGCCTAACATATCCTCAACTTTGCCTTTTGTGGTGTCTTTTTCTTTCCTACAATTCGACCAGATCTGACCAAATTTTGACATTCAAAAGGAGGGTGGCGTGTTTTCTTGTATGTCCAAGTAAGAACATGCCCCTCTATTCATTCATTATAATTAGACAAGTCCTGACAACATATTTGAATCTGATTAATGATTTATCTTCTGAGACATATATAGATAAATATGGATAGTAATTCCGCCATAAAAGCGGACAGTTGTTTTATATAACAGATATTTTTTGCATAATAAATTAGCGCAATATAGATATATATATATATAAAGAAAAATCGAGAAAAAAAGAAAAAAAAAACTTTTTTTTTTCTTATCTTTTAAATTATAGGGTTTATATTGAACTTTGAATGTCTTAGTAAATTCAAAGTTAATTTAGTATGATTGATAAATAGACCTCAGATTCATCACAACTCTACTCCATCGTGATTCATGCTTAGAGTTTAAACCAAAGGTTATTGCTAAGTGCTAGCTAGGTCCTTATACCAATTATTTTATTGCCAGATTATCACAAACTTTATGCATCAATAAATCTGGTACACATTGTAAGCAGCAGTCTAAGATCGTTGCTTATTTATATGTATAACATTAAATAATAGTAATTTAGCAATCGCAGGTATTTACATATCATAATCAAATTATTTAGAAGCTTTTAATAAAAAAAAAATAGATTATAGTTTCCATGTGCTTTATAAGAGTTAGATAATATATTTTATCATGAATAATTTTTTTGTTAAATAGGAGATTTGACAATTAAATAAAAACTTACTACTTCAGATTCTATTATCATCCAACATATTTAAAAAAACCTTGGTATCCTGACATATTATATCAATAAATGTGGTCCATTTGAAGATATAAATAAATAAATGAACTCAATTTAATTCCCCCAACAAACCTCTAAATTAAACAAATGCATCAAACAAACCTCCCATGCATTATTATTATTATTATTTTTAATGAAGAACCGCCCAACGCACATTCTTCCCCAACCAAGCCCTATAAAAACGTCAGCATAATAAAAGCAAGCTCACATATCTTGCCTACATGTCACCATCTCCCCTTCCTCCTCATTTCCTCTATTCCTTCCCAACTTAACTCCTCTTCCCTTCTCCTCCACCCATGGAAGGCAACCAAAACAGTTCCGGCAACATACCCCCCGCCGCCAGCGAGCCCATCCGCTCACGTTGGACCCCAAAGCCAGAACAGATCCTCATACTTGAATCCATCTTCGAAAGCGGAATGGTGAATCCAGCCAAAGATGAGACAGTAAGGATTCGCAAGCTGCTAGAAAAGTTTGGTTCGGTTGGGGATGCCAACGTGTTTTACTGGTTTCAGAACCGGCGGTCTCGCTCTCGCCGTCGCCAGCGTCAGATTCAGGCGAGTCTTGCGGCCGCCTCGGCGGTGGTTGGAGGAGGAAAAACTACGGGATTCGAGCAATCAGCTGCAGTAGCGGCGGCAATGGCGTCTTGTTCGTCAAATTGTACGTCGTCGTCGTCATCGTCGAGTTCGTCTGGTGGTGGCGGGGGAGCTGGTTTTTATTATGGTGCTTCGTCTTCGGTGACTCCGAGTTCGGTGTCGTTGTTGTCGGGGTTTGGTGGGAGTCATAAGGCGGATGATCTGTTTTCTATTTCTGATCAAATGGGGGGACTTGGAGATGATAGCTATATGTCCTGTTATGAGGCGGCGCAGATGCAATACCAGACTGGTTAGTGAGAGTTGATTATTCTTAATCTTCTGCAAGGAGTTTTAAGAGGAAGAAAATCTATGATAAATATTTGTAGTAGTATATTCACAACAAATATTAGGAAAAAAATGCAATTTTGATTTCGCTTTTATGAAAATTCGTGACTGAAAACAATGCTTTTGAACAAAAATTGATTTTTTATTTTATTTTATTTTATTTATTTATTTGTGATCTTGATGATGCAACTAAAGGTTTTAGTGGATATTTTTTACTTGCAAGAGTTTTTAGCCACATAAATGATTATACCTCTTCAAAAAAAAAATATTAGTTAAAGAAACATAAACGGAATAAATGTTACAAAAGATACCTTACTTCATGTTTTACTGAAAATGATCAGAAATATAATTTTTCAAGCACAATAAATGTAAAGAAATGTGACTAATCGAGTAGCAGTTGTCGTGTTTACATGTTGCATGATATGAGAGGAGTAAAATCACACTTGGTAGAAGCATTCTTTTCTGTTTCAGTATATGGAGTTATGTGCTCTTTTAATTTTAAGCCATAGTAATTCGTTATTAACGTATCTTAAAAGAGTAATTAAGGTCAATTATTTTTTAAATTATGACTGAAGTAATTTTTTTGATTAGATGTTGATGTTGACTGAAGTAATTTTTTTGGTTAGATGTTGATTTTGATTCTATAATCACTATTGTTTACTCCAGAGCTATCTAACACAAGTACTTTAATCTTACAAATTAATATTAATTAATTTTTTTCTTAAAAGAGATGTCATAAGCATCCAGATAGATGCCAATTAGGAGTTATCTCTGTCATAATTCCTTAAAAAAATAGTTCAAAATTTTTATTTAGTCACATCAAAAATAGTGGAACTATATTCCAAAACTATAATTATGGTTCTTAATTTTTTTGAGATGTATTTAAGGCTTATTTTTTCTCATGAATCTCGAGTATTTATGTCTAGCTAGCTCCTTCCAAAAAGAGAAATTATGTACAAAAACAAGAGTTTTCCTTTTCCTTTTATTTTTTAAACTTATATATAAGATATTAACTAGAAGCAAACTTTAAGCACAAGAATAAAAGTTTAAGTATGATAAAATGATGCAGGAAGCATAACTGTGTTCATCAATGGGATTCCTTCAGAAGTTCCAAGCGGGCTAATTAACATAAGAGCTATGTTTGGCCATGATGCTATGCTCATCCATTCGTCCGGAGAACCCCTTCCCATTAATGACTGTGGAATCCTTCTGCAGAGCTTGCAGATGGGAGAAAGCTACTACTTGGTAAGATTAAAAATTCGTTGCAGCCTGTCGATATACATTTCTTCAAATATTGCACGCTCTCATTCCTTAAAATAAAATATCCTACCTTAACTGGCTATTTATTTGTCCTTGACCAGTTGACCCTCTCTCTCTCTCTCTCTCCCTCTATGTCATTTTAATTTTTCTTTTTTACAGGTTGCAAGATCTACTTAATTTAGAAGAACTCTGGGCATTGAGAAATGGGAAGATGGAGTTGAGAAAATCTTTAAAAATAAGGCATGAGCTGGTGATTTTATTTTATTGCTTTTTTTTTTCTTTTTGCATGCATGCAGGGAATGAGAGGTGTTTTGTTTATCATCTAAGGGAGCCATGTGCGCTTCTGCAAGGGTTAGAAATTATGTGATTTTTCTCTTTTTACGTTGGATTTATGTAATGAAGCCTTTGAACTGGTTCCTGCTGTCGTGAACCAATATAATATATATTATGAGTAGGATCAGTAGCCGGAATATAAATGCATATTCGTACTTCTGAATTGTACTTCAAAATGAAATAAGCTTTTTTTTTGGGGGTTGTAAAGATGCCAGAGTTCATTATATAATCGATATTGCTACAACCGTGGTGATAAGTCGGCAATTTTTTATTGTGACATGTAGTAGCAGGTCTAATGAGGCATATAAGAAGGGGAAGCTTGAAATTCTAACTTCTTTAACTATAAGAACATATTTTTAGTATAAGAAGGGGAAGCTTGAAATTCTAACTTCTTTAAGAACATATTTTTAGTTTTAGTTTTTTTTAAATAAGATATATAAAGCATGTTCTAATCACAAAGGTGAAAATATGAAAATGTTGCCCTTTTCCCAAAAAAAAAACAAGTGAAATGAGAAAAATTGGATCAAAAGATTACAAGCTCCAGGCCGGCTACAAAAAAACAGGAAAACTAATCATAATTAGTCTCCCACGTAGATGCTCCATTACTATCTTGTAAAGGGTCTAGGGAAATAAGGCTTTTTCTTGTGCTTTTTTGTTACCACGGCCACAATGTTTTGAGAATGGAGACCATCATTTTTGTTGTTCTGAATTCGATGGCATCACCTTCTAATGTAGTGTTCACTTTAGTTAAGTGTTGGTCTTTTTAAAACTTAGAGTCGGCTGAAATTAGAGTATAAGGAAACAAATGAGAGTAGAGATTTGCGGAGAGCTAGATGATAGAGGCAATGGGGAAGAAGGGTGAGCAATCTCTAAAGAAAACTGAATCAAAAGTATTAAGTACCATGGTCACATTACATGCGAAAGAGGAAGATGTATATTGGTCAAAAATAGCCTTTTATTGACATTATTAAGTTGTGCAAGTTGGCTAGCGGGGAGGGTCAATGGACTATCACCCAATATTTTATAGGGTTGTTTTAGATAGTACTATTAGTAGTAAGTTGAGTTTAGCAATATGAGTTTATCATATTGATGATCCATCACATGATTATGGTGGTAGTTGAAAAAGATGAAAACATACTTAATGTTTTAGTTATTGGTGGGGGTAGTACAACAAAATATACTTTGATGTTTCGTTTAATCAGTCGGTGGCTGACCACTAGCTATCTGAAGAGCGCAACAACAACGAACATCACTTTATATATACAAAACAACATATTTAAAATTTACCTAATTTCATAGAATTTCAAATATGTACAGTCATATGAACCAGTATTGTTTCTTTTCAGGCCAAACCCTTAAATTTGTAAAACTTGTGCAAAAGGATTACAATGCCCTTATTTTTGTTGTCCATCAAATAACCTTTTAATATATAAGTTTTATAATTTTTTTTCTTAGATCTATATTTCATTTCATATATATCTAAATTTTATTTAATCTATTTTTTATTTCTTAATTCGATATATACTTTTTTACTTAAATACTTATTTAATTGTAATGTAAAATTAATATTTTTAAAATATTTAAATTAGGGTAATAATTTTGTGTTTAGATAAAAAAAACACCCAATTCTACTTTAAAAGGTCGGCCAATTAATAGAATTAGAGTTGTGCAATCGGTCTATTTGAATGAATCAATTTATAGATGAGTCAAGCTAATTGAAATTAAAATCCAAAATTAAAAAAAAAATCAATTCTAAAAATTAACCAAAGCAAATAGTTATATAATTTTATTTAATTTGATTCAATGTTGAGCAAATTAAACTTCATTTGTAGGCTTAAATTTATCCAAAATTTAAATTCTATTTAAAAATAAGAAATTTTAGTCACCATTTCCCTCCCTCTCATGGACTGCAACATTAATATAAAGGCGCAGGTATTTAAAATTTTCAATCCTATTATTATTCATTTTTTTTTTTTAATTTGATGTTTTTAAATTTGATTTAATGAAGATCTAAATTGTTCCCAAAACACGAAACCAAAAATCAGAATTTTTAAAATAAATTTTATTTTCAGGAACTATCATGGAAGCCTAAGACAACGCAGGACGAAAAGGGAAATAGACAGAAAAAAGAAGAAGATTAACAGGGAAATAAGCCTGAAGAAAGATGAGTTTTTTTCATTAAAACTCACTTACATTTGATACCATCGATAGATATAAATAAAGAGACATAATGGCAAACTAGTAAATACAAGTGATCGTAATAGTTTCTTTATACAGTATAAGCTATTAATATATAAACGCTCGTATTCGCAGAATCCTTAAATGGAAGAAGCGACGAGCCGAAGCTAATCCTTGGAGAATCCTTGCAGAAGAACTATGCAACCGATCAGGTATACGAGCTAACGCCCTTTTAGTTATAAGCTAAATGGCAATAGCTCAAAGAACAATATGAATGATTCAAATCCATAGTCTCACATTATGAAACAACAACAAATATTACTTTCTTTAAAATTTTTAGAAGTGAAATGCCCATTTTTTACATAGATTTTTAATAGCAAAATGTTCGAATTCCAAGAGTTTGATACGTCTGATGCATAAGAATTGTGAGGTATGTATGTAAATTTCCCTTAATTTATTTTGGCAGCAGTTTTTTTCTAAACTAGTTTAGATAAAATATACCTTGAAATCAGGTACAATGCGAGCACGGCGCATCTGAACCCAAAACCAACCCCACTCTCTCAATTCCCGGGAAAAATGTTACATCATGAGTCATGATGCAAAAACTGTATCAGGACTCCAATTATCATGCGACACTTATACGGTCTGGCCCCACTTAATAAAAAAATTAAATAGTTTAATGCGTGGCGGGGCCAGATCAATACGTCCTGAACCAGTTTTGCATCAGGACTCCTGATGTAATATTTTTTTTAATCCCTCGATATAATGTTGCCATATTGAAACAAATTAAATTCATATCTATGGGCATCAAACTTAATTCCGCATTTAAAAGTTCTATGACATCATTGAAATAAAATGCAAATGCCAATCCAATTAATGAGACTACTTCTATGAATTTGAATATTGGTAGCTTGGAAGCAACAATATTGAGGTACGTGTTAGCCAAGCTTAGCATTAACAAGTTTCCTTAAAAAAATCCTCCTTTTCAAATGAAGCTGCAAATGAATTCAGCTGAGTGAGATAGAGAATTATTTGAGTTCAAGCTCATTGATCAAATTTTTTTTTTCAAATTTGGCTCAAGTTAAATTTAAGCTTTTATATTATGACTAACGGGTACTAAATGAAATAATTAGTACTATCGAGATGAACTTTATGGCTCGATAAATAAGATTTTAAATAGACAACCTTCGTAGAGCCCTATCGAGTCGATATTGTTCTCATGTTGCATCTGTAGTGAATGCTCTTTTATCTATTGGGTTTTAATTGAGCTTCAATATATTTTTACAGTATGCTTTAATTGAGATTCTTAACAACATATTCATGCATATTAAGTATTAGTATTTATGAACATAAATAAAGCAATAAACAAGCTATTTTAGATTTTTTGTTAGATAACTTAATACTTCTAAAAATGCTCATACATACAAGTATAATTAACTGTATGAATAATCACAGGTAGTTCGTGGAGCGCTTCTATCATTTATATAGCTTATTTTAAAGCACGCAGAACAAGTATGAGTTGAATTTAGCTTAACATTACTTTCAATCAATTCACTTAAAAAGTGCAATTATTAGAATTCTACCTAAGCCAATGGGCTAGAATAAACGAGAAATTCTCTGCATGCTGTGTCCGATCCTGACCAACGAGAAATTCTCTGCATGCTGTGTCCGATCCTGATCGTTGATCACGGTGATCTACGGTCAGGATATATTTCAGTTTTTTTTTAAAAAAAAATTTAGGTGGGGCCAATCGAAATACATCACCTGATTTACGGTCAGGATCAAGATGCGGTGTCCGTACGTATAGAATAATTTTTCAGAATAAACACCTTCAATATATTCTTTTACATCAAAAAAAAGAAATATAGATGATGAACTTCAAGTGCAATGAACTTTAGAAAGATTTACATAGATATCAGTTAATTCCATGAATTTACATGTCAATTTTTACATGTATGTCATCTTATTTATGTATAAAAATATTTATTTCACTCTTTAAAAGTCAAAATAGAATTTTTTGTATGTGATATGAAAGATTTTGATGATATAAATATAAAAAATAAAAT